AACTCAATTTAAAAAATAGAAGCCTAAAATAATTGCCGCTGTAAATTCCTCTGCCACATTTTGACTTTTTGTAGAGAGGTATTATGGACAGTCTTGCACCATCAGATGAAATCTGAATCATTAAATTTGTTGGCCGGGAACCATATAAATATATACAGTATGTGGGTGTGTAACAAAAAATTCTACATTACAAAAAATAAACATGCATGCAAGATTAAGCAAATGTCCTAATCCATTTATGCTGAATCAAAATAGATAACTACTTACGAGCCAATGCGTAGCTGCTCAGCAGCAGTAACAGGCACACTTTCCTATAACCCATCATGGGCTATAGTGAAGAGTTTTCTCTGTGTTCTTTAACTCTTCTCTCTTGACTAATACAGCAACACTTCTACCCCAATCATTTATAAAGGCCATCCCTGTCCCTCCAGGCCTGCTGAAGTATATAGACACAAAGCCTGGGAGGTCATCCCAAAGTACAAACTCTAATCGAAAGGCAGAGAAAGCAATAATCAATACAATAAAAAAAAAGGTATCACAGGTTTGTTTATGGTCGGTATTTGGTTCATATTAGGTTAAGACCACATAGAACATGGTAAATAAGAAATAATTCATTAACATTATTGCATTTTTTACAACTGGCACATAATAAGCATAAGCAGGGCTCGGTCACGTGCTAGACAGACACAGGGATGCTTCTGTGTACTTTTCGTTGTACATTACTGAAACTGGTTGTGATTCCAGTGTAAACAAGGGCAGTCTCAACCAAAACACACAGGGCTGAAATTTGTTTAAACAAATCCAAATCATGGTTATTTGTTATGCCTGCATAAGGATAGTTAATGTGCATTATGTTTAATGTGCATTATGTTTTGCCTCTGCAATTCAAGAACCTTTAAATGCATAGCTAAATAATATTGTCTGTGATAACTACTATTGTTTGACTGGTTTTGTGTAAGAAGACCTTGCACAATTTCATAAAAGGTTTTAATTACATGAACAACATCCCAGAATTGAGTTAACGTGATACAGCCCGGCTTTCCTTTTTTTAAATCTTCCTGACCAGGATTGACTCTCATGAGAGTGACATTTACGTTTGCATCACTCCATGCACACTTTGAGACAAAGACAATTTGATTGTGTAATATATTAGTGGCCTAAAAACTCAAGTATCAGTTCAATCTCCAGACAGCTCCTTTCACAGGTCAGAGTTCACCTTTGTTCACCTTTGGCCAAGCTCATGTGTTCAGACAGCCAATAGAAAAACCGCTGCACCGTGTTTGGAATTGGAAAAGTTACTCATTGGTACTCACTGTGCAGTGAAATGGCCCCTAACTGTGTTTCACTATTATATATTTGGATTAATATTACTGCCTCGTTATTGTGTATGTTGCATTTTACTGCTGTAGCTGTTTAACTAGTTTATGTACCACAGTAAATCATATTCTACAGGGTCTTCATAAACAGTAGCTGTAGAATTGTTGTTGTGTGAAAACCATGTCTCTTAAAACAGCCTGTGTTTAGTGTGGGATTAGACATTTTTTAGCCAGTCAAAGAGGGTTTGTAAAAACTATATCTATTTTTAGAAGCAGGGGAATCTTCTCAACTCATAAAGGAACAATAAATCCTTCAGTTTGTCACATACATTAAAAGCCAACACATTTGGAGATACATGATTTTCACCTGACAGGAAGGGTATAAAGTAAGTAGAACAATCTGACAAATTAAGTGTTTAAAGTACAATATATGCCTCTGAGATCTACTGAAACATACACAATTTGGGAAAACGATTTAAGTAAATTTTTTCACCACTGCAAGTCAGTAGCTACAGTAGCTCTCTCCCTGGACAGTAAGGCACTGTATTATAAATTAGGTGTTAAAACAAATATTTTCACCTGGTGATGGTTGATGAGGTTACTTAGCCAGCCTCAAGGCACACATAAAGCCAAGGTAATCAGATTCACTATCGAATGGGCAATACGATGCTTTGAAATAGGCCTGCTCATCATGGTTCCTCCATATGACACATGAGGAGTAGGCGGTGATTCTAGAAGACGGACAAGGACGCGAACGAGAACGAGAAAAGAACTGGAATATTGCTGGATATGAATGCACAGAGACTGAAAGATATGTGATAATAAGGAGAGTATCTAGCCAATGAGACCAATGCAAAGTATTTCATGGGAGAAATTGTTGAAAAAGTTTTTTGAATGGCAGTGTATAGAGCCGGAGATTTTTTTGGAGCCGTCCCCTGCTGGATGTCCGCGGCATTACACTTTTAAGCACTTCCGCATAGGCTTCTTCTTTTGGAGCCGGAAGCTTCGTCCATTTTATATACACAGTCTTCACATCATAACTCATGAAAGAGTGGAAAGTGTATTTTTGTACTTCTGTTTAGTATTTATTTATTATTTTTTTATTTATTTAGTAACAATCATTCACAACATGCGTACTAATCAAAAGCTTGCCTTCTTTATTGATTTTTTTTTTCAAGAGGATATAGTCTGTAAGTGTTTTGTCTGGTCCACACTTCGGTGCAGTAGGTGGCGGTAATGAGCCACAAGCTGGAGGCCAACCGCCGTTAAACAAGAAGATGAAGAAGATGGGCAAGGCGCTAGGTGGCGACAGCGCACCAAGATGCTTAGCGCCGTTCACATACCAACAAGGAAGACAAAAGTCATAACGGACACTCCGGTTCTGCAGAGCGCTCACAGTGCTCCCCGTTACGTCCCGTGACAATTAAAACAGACAAACTAACGGGACGCCCGTGATGCAAGGCCGCCTGACGCCACCTCCACTCATCACCAAGGTAAAACCTGCAGTCTCTGGGTGAAACAGATCGGAGGATAGACACAGAGAGAGTTTGTGATTAGTTGGGTACAAGGTTCATGACCCGAGAAAATGGAGAAATGAAAAACGAAAATGAAACAAACCCTCACTCACACACATCCACACGGTGAAGGCTGATTTGGCGTCATTGGGGGCGAAGAAAGTGAACCTGCTTTTACTGGGATTGTTAAACTGTCCCGTTTTCTCTACACGTGTTTCTTGTTAAAGTTGGCAGACTTGATTTAATGATTTTAGGAAGTGATGGATGTTCCTATTATCCAACAGATCTAACAAATATGTTGATCCCATAAAAAAATCTAAAAATCAGGTTGACTATATGATGAAAAGTGATTAACCATTGTGTGTGTAATGAGAGGCAGAGACGAACACACATACACACACACACACACACACACACACTCCTATAGATAGAAGTTCTTCTGGCAGATTATGACTCAACGCAGGGTTTTAACTTCATTGTTGCAGAAGAAGTGACTCTCTGTTTCTCCAGGAACATGAATATGAATTCAGCAGGTTTTTATAAAGATCAGTTCCATGTTCTGTCAAAACAGTGTGGAGAGCACTGACCACTGTCACAGACTATAGTCTGATGTTTGACTTGAAAACCTTATTTTGTAAATTACAGCACTTGGGCTATGACACTTTTTAAAGCACTTTATAAATAAAAGGGAGTTCATATTTCACTGATTGTATTAACTGATGAAAAAGCATTGGTGCACTGCTCTAGTATAGGAAATTGTGGATGTGATACATTGAAATGCATCAAGAAGCGTCATTGTGCATTTGAATCGTTGACTCCTGAGTCGTAATCGACTTGTGAGGCTAGTGAAGATGTGCAACTCCAGTGAGCACACAGTCATCAACAGTCCCGTCAGGCAGGAAGCAGCTCCCAGCACTGCTCCCGGCTGTTTTTTCTTCTCTTGTGGACTAAGCTACCAGTGCTTTCAGTTTACAGCTAATTAGCCAAACAACAAAAACAAATATATATACTTGTGTCTTGCTAATCTACACGCATGAGCTAATGTAATAAGTTAGGGCATACAGGCTAATGTTCTGTGCTTGAGGGGAGACACTACAGGTGAAAACTTGTATCTAATGATGTCATCACAATCGCCACCTCGATATGCAAATTGGGCTTTAACTTATTAAAATGTGTCAATTGGCACTGAAGGTGAATATGATACACATCACCATATAACTTCCCCAGTTAATAACCTACATCAAGACTTCCATCAAGACATCAAGTATTTTCCCCTGTAATGTTATTTTTGAAGTTTGTTTGGTGAATTTAGCCTAGGTCTGTATACATATGCAGACAGACCGAGGGTAAAACAAACACCATCCAAATGTTTGTTTTTGGAAGTTTTCTTTCCATTAGATTGAAAGAAGACATGGATGCAAAATGGACTCAAATCTCAAAATTGATGAGTACATGAAAAAACAGTGTTTGCCTGTAGTATCCTGCCTTAAACAGTTAACTGCATTTTGATTATTGGCTCCTCATCTCCTCTCTGGCCTCATCTGTTTTATCAGCCCTCACTTCATCTGACTCAGCCATGCATCCTAACTCTGCCCCAGATACTCTCCTCTCCAATCTGTCCTCTTACTTCACGGCAGGTGCGCAAGTCCTTCCTAGCTCTCTGGTTGTCTGACGTGCTGACAGAGCCACAATGCAGGAAGCAGGAAGGAAATCTCTTCTCTCCTCCTTCTCTGCCTCTATTTCTACAGGCAAAGGCTCTTTTTATCAGACAAAATTCATTTCTCAATCTCCTTGACCCCCCAGTCTCCCACCTCCTTCCTCTCTCAAGGCACTTTGTCAACTACTACTAAAAAAGATAGATTACATATGCACTTCATTCTCCAACCTCACTTCTGACATTTCCTTTCTATCAACCACTTTTGCATCCCCTACTCTATCCTCTTTCAACCCCGTCTCCCAATCAAGTTCTTACCCTGGTTACCTCCCCCTGCCATACCATCTTCCTCCTTGACCACATTCCTTCTCACATTCTCCAGTCTATTGCTCCTGGCCTTCTTCCTTTTCTTATTTTATTAACACTTCCTTGTCAATGGGCTGTTTCCCTAACTCTCTTAAAAAGGCAAGAGTGAACCCTCTCCTCAAGAGACCCTAGCTGTAACCCGTCTGATCCAAACAACTACAGACCTGTCTCTCTTCTTCCTTTTCTTTCCAAAGCACTTGAGCCTGCTATCTTTCATCAACTCTCTTATCTTCACCACAACAACCTTCTTGATCCTCAACAGTCTTGTTTCAAGGCAGGCCACTCAACTGAGACTCAAAGCTTTATTGTCTATTTCTGCAATATATACACAGACATATTGAGGAATTGAAATTTCTCAGACTCTCGGTCTCCCCATCAACACAGATTTAAGTAAAAAACAGTAAACACTGAATAAAAATATATTAAAAAGGTCCAGAGTTTGTGTGTGAGGGGGGCAGCAGGGGAAATGGGGGCAGAGCAGGAAGGGAGTTGAGTGCCCTGACAGCCTGGTGGTAGAAGCTGACTCTCAGTCGGCTGGTCCTGGCCCGGAGACTCTGCAGTCTCCTCCCTGACGGCAGCAGGCCGAAGAGGCTCCGTGAAGGGTGGGATCTCCCCCGATAGAAGGTGCACATGATGGGGGCGGGGCTCCACCTCCTCGTAGTTTGTGGAGGAAGTGGAGTTGTTGGTGAGCCCTCTTGACCTAATCCTGAGGACATATAGGGGTCTAAAATGCCAAAACTTCAATATACTGTGTTTCAACTGTTTCAACTTCACTGTGTACTGTGACAGTTTTTTTGAGTAACATGCTTTTGAGTGTGATCACACCCACTTCATACTTCATACCTCATGCTACCATGACAGATAGAAGCAGTGACAGAGAGCACTGTTCTAAGCTCAGTAGTTTGTTACATCTGTTGATAGGATGTTGCCCTCCTAGTGGACATTGTATGTGTCCATGCAAAGTAAGCTCTCCTATTATGTATATTATCTTTTATCATCCCAAATATCCCAAATATAAATCTGCCACAATAGGGTGAATTCGATTTTAGAGCAATGAAGAATTTCAAATTTTGGAAAAAAAACAACTCTTTTGTGTATGTGTTGTGTAGGTGAAACATGCTGACTGCTATCAGATCTACAAGATGTTCTCTCAGTTACCTCGTGGGTTTCTCGACCTCAGCTATGGATGCCATGTCAGGTAAAACACACACACACACACACACACACACACACACACATACCCACACACACACGTAGATGAATGCACAATGTATGATGAACATAGACCAAAGCCTTTAGTTTGGGTTTCATAGCATTTCCTCACTTTCTCTTGTTTTCTTTCATCCATTGTTTGATTTTGTGTATTGGCCAATCTCTGCTGTGATATTTTAGAAATCCTGCAGATGTAGTCTTTCATAAGAGAACACACACATACTGAGTCTGATCCACAAACAAGAATCTATCGTCATTGCGATATCAACGTGCACGATATACATTCCACAAAAGATGGCAAAAACAATAACTAGTGTTCCATGAGCCACGCGTTCAGGCTCTGCATGTCAATATATCCGGCCGATCAGATGGAGCCCTGCTGCTCTGCTGATAAATTAAAGCTATTCAGATCATTGACAGGTTTTTCCCTCAGTGAATCATTGTCGTAAGAAGAGAATAGAGAGAAAACAAAGAATTTGAAAACAGATTCAACCATCAAGTCTCACCCCGTTTCCTCAAACCAAATTCTACAGTGGAAACCTTGAGTGATCACGTTTGTCCCGGGTCAGATTCATCACTATGAGCGGTTGATTATTATTATTATATAAAACAATTATGTAGCTTATTTATGATCCCTGAAACTGAGTGACCGCTTGACGTGGTTGGTGCAACGCACAGCAGGAATGATAGAGACTCAGACAGGAGCAGTTAATTACTGACAGAGCCTCTAAAAAATGTTAATAAATAACATTTCACGGTCCAAACATGTATGAAAAGACTCTAAATTAACACTGTAAGTGGACTTAGTGGAGCTGTGCATGGTCTCTCCGTCAGTAGACAGGAACTCTTTATGTTTATTTATCCCAAGTCATATCGTCATTGCAATATTAGACGTTATCACATATCACATATTTTCCTAATACAGTGCAGCCATAACTGATACTACATAAGACAGTTCTCCTCCTAATTCTGCATAAATAGTTGCCAGTAGCCAGAGCCGAGACATAACCCTAACTCTGATATTTATTGTTTTCTGTATCTGCCCTGCAGGAGAAAGAAGACTTCTGAATAGTAGTTTCCCATTAACTGCAGTTTGCATGAGCAGAAAGAGTTATTGTTAATCATTACAATGCCTTCACAATACAAGGTTATACCTAAACCTAGACTTTTCCTATTTACTGAACTGTATTCCTGTTAATATTTGTCTGTTGAGCCCTTGGGCCACTGCATTTACCAGTTTCTCTTACTGGATGGAATGGAACTCTTGCGAAAGGGGAAAAACCAGTTTAAGTGAGAAGGCGTTATAATAGCAGTGGTCTGAGTGACTTACAAAAGTGTGTGGTCTGAGATGGAGCTCTTGGGTGATTTAAAATGTCTGAGTCCGGCTGAATTGAGGCTGTTTATCAGGCAGAACGATTCCAGAATAAGCAAAACAACTGGATTAGCTGAAGGTAAGAGCCAGTGTGTCACTTATATTGCTGCATGTGACACTGGAACCATGTACTTGCAATGACTGACTTACTTGTGAGACCTCCAGCCATGTAAAAAATAGGGCTTAAATTAAATTTTGGAGGCATCAATATTATAGACATGGGAGTTACTTGTTGAGTTTCTGAGGTTTTTATCCAGTAAGTAAGAGAAAAGTAACTTTCTAAGTAAACAAGTTTACTATGGAAAAAATTTGCAAATCAGCTGACATGATAGTCCATAATTGATGTAATTGACTTTACTTTATAATGTTATAAATAATCACAACATTATCATATCATTCAAATAAATAAATACAATTGATATCAGCTCTTATTTCCAGCAGGCTGGACTAAGTTTCTTGAAGTGATATGAGGAAGGTATTGACATAGCTTCCATATAATATCTAACTTTCAATTAAATTTAGATGTAAACATCCCTAGGATTCTTTTATATAAAATGTATTCCAATCGATCCCTTTCACCTAAATCTTACACACTGGACATTTAAGTGTTCCCTTTATTGTTTTAAGCGGTATGTATATAGGCTGCACATGGTCCATAGTAGCTCTGATCCATGGATCAAGGAGATTTGAAAACCTCTTTAGCCATTCATTATTGTACATCTGTTCTATAAAGCTACACAGTTTCTTTTCCTTTTTTACCTAAGAAGCAGCTGATTTAGCAGCACCTTATATATCTGTCACAGCAGATATCTCTATGCTCGAACAATTGCAAATGAAGAAGCCAAAGACTTGCAGAGCTTGAGAAGGTCTCTAAAGTTACATTGAAGTATTATTATCACAATAAATGTGTGTTTGTGTTTACTTTTTGTCAGGATATATGCAGGCCAATGTGGTCATCCTGCCCAATCATCTGGCCGATGACTTTGAAGCCTTCTGTCACCGTAATCCCGCCTCCTTACCGCTCCTTTATCGCAGCCAATCAGGAGAGACTTCCTGTCCGCCTCTAGCTAGACATGCAGACATAAGGTATTTATATACTGCACATACTCCAAACACTGAGCAAGTGTCTCCTACATTGTATTTCTTTATTTAAGATGTTTGTTTTGTTTCTGTTGATTCTTGTGGTTAGTGACTTTCTGTAGTGATTGGAACGTCTGTAAAAACATTTAAAAATGTGAAATTTAAAAATATATTAGGCAATGTATAAAACAGGAGAATGAAAAAAAATTGTCCCATTAAAATTAAGTGGGACAGAAATGTTTAGGTTTATTCATGCAAGTTATTGAATAGATTGTAATTGGCTGTGTTTTAGTTCATAGACAGGATTGATAAAAGCAAAGAAAGTAATTTTTCAAACTTTGACTGCATGCACGTTAGAGGTTGGTGAAGTTATGTCAGAAACCTAGACTCTGTTTGTTTGTTTTCAGGACAGATATTTCTCAGTACTGTGTGTATGAGAAGGGTCAACTGGTGAAAACAGTCTCCAGTCTGCAGAGTTACGATCAAGCAAGGTAATTTAACAAACACAAACAGTGCCGAACAAAATGCATTATCAGGATAACTCAAAGAATGGAGATATACTGTGGCTCCATAAGGTATTCAGAACCCTTCACTTTTAAATCAATATAGTGTTGTTGTTAATTATAAATAGGTAATATGCTATTATACTCATCAATCTACAAGTTTACAATTTTTTCAGAACTGTGTCGAGGCCCCTTTGGCAGCATTACAAACCTCGATTTGGACTCCATCAGATTGAATGGTTAACATACATGAACTGCAGTCTTCAGGTCTCACCACAGATGTTCTTTGACAAATGTTTTAACACCCTGGCCCTGATCCACACCTCACCATAAAATCTTATCATAAAGGCAAACAGAGAGTGTGTTTGGTTTCATGGCTTGGTTTTTGTTCTGACATGCAGTATGAATAATAAGGTGAATTGTGAATGAGATTTGTACTCTAAAGAAATGTTTTCACTTTGTCATAATGGATTATTGACTGTAGATTAATGGACAACAATGTACATTTTATTGATTTAGAATAAAATCTACAAAACGATAAAGTCCAAACACTTTAGACACTGAATGCCCATAGCTCTTTATTTAATGTGTAACAGGGTAAACTTGGGTCACTGAGGCACATAACTGACAGCAACAAAACAATATCACCTCTTAGACTTAAGGACAATAATGAATAATGCAGTGATACATTGGGACTAGACAAAAATAAATAAATCATGAAATAGATATTAGGTACATAAGTAGTAAACACCCCCCCAAAAAATAAAATGAAAATAAAATAACAAAACAACAAAACCACCATAACATAAATATTCAGTAACATAGATTAATTTTCATTTTATGTCAGAAAAGGAGTAGGAAGAAGCAACAAGCTTGTCTTGTCCTATCCCTATTTAATAGAAAATGATCTAACATAAGTTAGAAATATAACTCCACTCTCCCCCTAGTGTCCCTCCTTCCACTACATCACTGTTGTCTGATCTTCTTACATATGTCAACTTGCCTTCTGTTCCTCTTGTTTTTTGTACCTCTCACATCAAACTGTCCACATTGCACAGTAAGTAAGTAATAGTTGTGGCATACCGGCCAAATCCAATAAAAAAAAAAAAAATCCTGGTGACTCCTATTTAAAATGTAAAACACCACCTACAATGCCTCCATACTGCTCCTGTGGTATCATCCAAGTGTCTGTAGGCCCCGACACTCAAATTTGTCTCAAAACGTCAAATCATTTACACCATGTTTTTAGCCTAAATGTCTGGCCTTTCATGGTCATATTGTAAGCCTTACTTAAGCTGGAAGGCTTTATTTAGTGGTTATTGCTCATTACGAGTCTAACTTTGCTTCTTTTTTTTTGTGCTCCCAGGAATGCATCAGAACAGCAGGCTGTGCCTGATAGCCATCAGTGGTCAGACATGGTGTGTTTCTATCTGGGCTGCAGCTTTGGCTTTGAGGGCAGACTGAAGACAGCAGGAGTCCCAATTAGGAACGTGGAGCAGGGCAGGAACGTCAGCATGTACAGGGTGTGGTACAAATATCTACCTGTATATGTAACAGCATTGTGTGAATACAATAAGACAGCAGATGTGTGACTGAAATGAAAAGAATTAAGAAGACATCAAATGTCAAGATTTGTGCACCTTTTTCCAATTTACTTCTCTGTTAAAAGATGATATGTGTAATAATGTTGTGGATATGGCCTTTTGAAAGTACTCTCTTTTCACATATCAAAGTTATGTCGATCGATCATCAAGCATTTAAGTCAGTGTTAAAGTTCATCACACCACTACCACACCCAATTATGTGTATTATTATCATTAGTATTATAGAAAAATACAAAAAGTGTTGATCAGTTCAAGTTTCCCAGGTAAGTCATGACTGTTTATTACCTTGAACTGACAGGAAGGACATCAGGACCCGCAACTTGAAGCAGCTAACTCGAATTCAACCATTTTTAATTAAGATCTTACTTTTACATGTTCAAAATATCTGCCATGAAAACGGCCAATTTAGCATTTGTTCTATAATTCTAATTGATGATGATTCTAACCATAATCTCCCAAACCCCAAAGTGACAGCTACAGATTTGTGTCAAAGACAGGGTTATAATGTTTATGCTAATAGTATGACAACTATTAAGACAAAACAGTGTTCGCTTAATGGATTAACCTGAGCCAGGGAACAAAAACTCAATATACACCATACAGTTTGATCTGATAGTGTAGTGTGAACCATTAGAACTGTCATTAGCTTTATTCTTTGTCTTTTCTGATTCTCACTGAAATGGTTTTACTCTAAATTCATCTGCAACATCTGTGTTGTATGTGTTTGTGTGTGTAAAGACTGCAATTCCCTGTATCCCTGGTGGAGTGTTCAGCTGCCCTGTAGTTGTCAGCATGCGTCCTGTTCCAGCTGAAAAGTTGGATGCAGCAGTGGAGGTGACTCATCTCAGCCCACTAGCACATGGAGCACCTGTACACATAGGAGAACCAGGTACACATACACACACACAAAAACACACACCCTCATTCTCGTACTTCTATCTTTGAGAGGACTCTAATTGACATAATGTATTCCCTCGCCCCTTACCTCAATCTTAACCATCATAATTAAATGTCTAGCTATAATCTTTACCCTAAAATAATCCTAATTCTACCTAAACCCTAAAAGTCTTAACCTTCAAACAGCCGTTAATTCACCAGTACCTGAAAAAACATTGTTTACGGTTCTTAAATGTGTGTTTGTACATTCTCTCTCTCTGTCTTTCTGTCTGTCTGTCTGTTTCTGTGTGTGTGTTTAGCTCTTATTGGCATACAGGACTTGTACAGACCAGACTATGGGGACAGACTCGAACTGCAGCCTGGTGATGTCCCTGTCTTCTGGGCCTGTGGAGTGACTGCTATAGAGGCAATACACAGCAGCAGTGAGCAGTTTAATTGGCTAGAGCTGTATCTGCCTCAGTTACTCATCAGTTATACAATTTAAGAGATTGTGGTAAATGATCATGATGTTAGCATTAGCTGATCTTTCCACTTGAGATACTGAGACTGAAGTTCAAAATATCTAACAGAATGAACTGACAACATGTTTTCTATCCTTCAGAGCCTTCGCTGGCATTCAGTCACTCACCAGGCTCCATGTTCCTGACCGACATCCCAGACTCCTCTTCTTCCACCATAGCCCCTCCCTCTGACAGCAGGAACACTGCATACACCGAACCCGACCCTGAGCTGATCCCCCTCTGCATCCTGGTATCCCACAAGCCCTTGCTGTACAGCCTGGCATCTCAGAGGGCAGTGTCAAGGATCAGAGAGCTGGAGAGGATTATTGGAGAGGACCCAGGTAAATATACACAAACATTTGTGCTCGTTAGTAAAGATATGTACGCGCTGGGTATAATCATACAGTGAAATATGTTGAAATATTACACAGCAGTAGTTGACTTGACTCATCACTGTTATGAAAACTGTCATCTGGCTGTCTGTTGTAATTCTGCTAATCACCAAGTGAGGATTCAGTTAATGAAAACAAACAAAAATAAGGTGTAATAGGGAAATTTTAAGATTGATCTTTGATATCATGCATATATACGTGTTAATGTTGTGACAGATGAGCGTAGAATGTTCATATGTGGTTGTTAGGGGGCGACTGTGTCAGCAACAGTTGCCATCCATCAGATAAACATGATCATATCATTAGGGACATTTTTTGCGTTCACCTCTTGAATGCAAATCGAAGATTCACTCGGGCTCTTTAGCTGATAAATGCTCCACTATGTTTCCCAGCTAATCTCTGAGTGTGTTTGTCTGCTGTTTGGTGCTGAGCAGGCAGCGTACATTGAGTTTTTTAGTTTTTACTCAGCTGTAGACCCTGAATAAGCGAGGTTGATAAGAGCAGTGAGACTGAACCTAAACAGTGAGGATGCTGACTGTTAAACCACCACAATCAAACCCAGAGGATGCTCCACAGAGGGGAGTCGTGGAGTTCACCTTTTTTAATTTACACATTGTCCATTGTTCCATTAATATATAAAAAACATGGATTATTGCAGAATGTTTAAATTGTACAAGATCGTTATTACAGAGAAAAAAATTGATAATAAAAACTGTTACAATGAATGAACAGGAGTGAGAAGAAGATTGTTAATGAGCTATTACAGGAGTAATGAATAATCTGGCAGCTAACACACACCAGGCACTTACCAAACAAGTTCACATTGTGTCAATATTAATGTTTGGTGATAACATTCAGGCGGACATGTGACTTTATTAGATTGGTTTAACTCTCTCACAATGACAAGTAAAACCCTTTGTAATGACTTGACTTTCTGCAGTAATTGCTTATCAAATGGGATCTGATCAAGTATAAACAACAACACATATAACAGACAAACTATTCTAAAGCTATGTGTCTTTATTGAAGATACAAAATCCTGTTCGGAAAAAGTTAGTTAACCCTTGAATTCGAATAAGTGTTTGAACCTCCTTTGGCAACAAAAAGCTCTTCAAGGCATCTTCATGAAATGTAGTTCTAAACTCGGACTGAGCGTAGATCTCCCTCTCTACGATGCATGGCTCACATCAGCTTATTCTTCTTGTCACAAACTCCAAATGTATTTCTTTGTAAGTCAGAGTTGCTATAACACAAGCCCCTTGCCTTGTTTCAGTGATGGATTCGAGGTTTGCTGTTCTGACATCATTACCCCCTTATTCAGATCCACACCTACATTTAATAGATTCATGTCCCACCCCTCCTTCATGGAAATTGGTTGAGTAGTTTGTGTGTGATTCCTGCTGAGTAACAAACACATTCAGACGACAACAGAACCTCCTTTGCAAATGTTTAGCTTATCAGTGTTCAGGTATAGAGGAGTTCAATCATAATACTTGGTGAATCATTCTGAGGGTCTTTTACCACTAAGAGAGGGATGATGGATCAGTGGTCCTGTTAGTTTTAATTAGTCACTAAAGCAGCTCTTCCAGTAACAAGCAGTTGCAGAAGATGGACATCAAGTTGTCTGGATATTGTCTGTCACCAGGTCAACGTGGGATCCAAGTTTTATTCACCCAGGATGAACTTTTGCGCTCCAGTCTGGCCCTCTCCCACTCTTTCTCTGTTGCCATAACAACTGGCTTCCCTACACACTACATGCACAGGTACCTGCACATTCAGTACACACATTTCACAAAGTTCACTTTGTTAGGATGACCTGCTTATTCATTCAGTTTAATAAGCCAATCATGTGGAGCGAGTGCAGTTCATAAAATTGCACATACACAGTTCAAGAGCTCCAGTGAATTATTGCTTCAAAACTTGTTGATCCGAATTGTTGTTTGATTGTGTTTTCCCCGCAGCCCTGCTGATGAGACAGACGGGCCACCCGGAGCTATTGCCATGGCAACCATGCTGTTGTCTCTAGGGAAACAGGTGACGCTGGTAACAGACAGGAGAGCCCTGGAGATAAACCAGGCCATTATTGATGAGGCTGTGAAAACAGGTGGGAGAGAGTTTTAATGAAAATCGGTGGAACAAATACATCAATCTGTCACCAGGGTTGTACCAACACAAGTTCTATTGAAATTTAAGCAATTGTTACTTTTTTAAGAGAAAGCCTCAGCTCGCTCTAATACGTCTACAATTCCACCCTCAGGTGTGCTGAAAACTGCAATCCCATTGGTCACTTTTGAAGACGGTGGCCCGGATGCTGCACTGCATTTCCTGTGTCACAATGGAGACCCCAGCAAGCCCAGGTTATCTGAACTGTGACATGTGTTTGCAGTAAGACTGAGGACAAAGTAGTCTTAACCATTTCCAACCTCAGATTTTGAGAATAAAGTCATAATTCTGAAGAAACTTTGATATTTTGAGGATAGCTTTGTGATATTCTGAAAATAAATTTGCAATAGTATAGAATAAAGAAGAACATTATTTTTTAGGAAATAAACAGCTATGTAACTATGAAACCCCTTTGAATAGCACACAGTATCAAAATCTCAGAGTTTGTTTTCTTCAACCTGGCCCTAATAGTGTGTAGTATAATACTCCGTCGTAGTGGTATACAGAATTAAAAAAACATTTTTTGAATCCTCTTTTTTTTGTATTCAGTCATGAAAACATTTTACATTATATGGACAGTCAAGACAACAGTCTATTTATAAAGTGATTGAAAAGGCACAGACAAAGCAAAATATTTTTGAAATCAAATATCAATATCCCATTTTAAAGTTCATTATGAATTCATAGAGATTACACTATGCTTATGTGTCCTTTTCATTGGGTGCGATTGGGACAATAGGCATCATTCCAAACATAGAATACTTAAATCAGTGAGTAGAAGAATAATGCTGACCAGACTTAAAAAATCCTTTGACTATGGAGTCACACAGTGTTTATGTTTATGTTAAAATCCAGGTTTGACCACCTTGTGGCGATAGAGCGCAGTGGAAGGGCTGAAGATGGAAATTACTACAACATGAGAGGTGTAAACATCAAACATTTGGTGGATCCTATTGATGACTTGTTTATTGCTGCCAAGGATATACCTGGAATTACCACTACAGGTCGGTAAAACTTCTGTTTTACTTATGTTTCTGTTCATTAGATGAGTAAATTTTTACATAATCTATATCACAAAATAATCGTGAATAACCTTGCAAATCATGAAACAATGCCCCCTGCTTTATATATATATATATATATACTTTTTTTACCCTTAAATTTGCATCAAAATGAGTTTGATGTTACAGTGACCTGGAGGAGGAAGACTGGTGCTGCTAGCATTCCAAGGCCTCACCCTGATAGTCTTTCTTTTATTTTTTTCAACCTAAAAACAACTTCATCACTTGAACATGGAGCCAACGCAGTTATTCACTATGTGCGGCTGCAGAGGGCGCTGTTGCTCAGTAAAGGTTGCATTGTGCTGCTTAAATATGTCTTAGAACCCTGTTTTTTAAGGTGTTTATTTATGTGGCCAGTAATGTTTAATGTACATATATGTTTGCATGTATAGGTGATATAAAACCTTTAGATAGGTGTGTCGGAAAGACTAGCTGTGCTTTAGGACACGGCTTCTGGGGATCCCTACAAAAACACACTTAAGGTACATTCTGTGTATAGGGGTTGGAGAGTCTCTTTGCATATGTGCAGAAGAAGATTTTTTGGCTCCTGAAGGAGCTGTATGAAGCCTGTCACTTCACTTTTCGCTGGACAGTATCACTTCTTAAACAGTTAATACATGCTTAATATATGTATAATAAAGACCAAACATTTGTTATCTCACTGTAGGAGCATTTGATATTGATACCATTGGCTCTTTTTACACTGCCACTAAAATTTCTGTTAACATCTGTCTGATAGTTGAGTTTATTTGTCTCCATCTCTCATCATTTTTCATCCATCTGAGCAGACTCTCTTTCCTCTGTCTCTGTAGGAGTTGGAGATGGTGGTAATGAGCTGGGCATGGGTAACCTGAAGGAGAGGGTGAAGAACCTGATGCCCAATGGGAGTCTCATAGCCTGTGATGTTCCTGCTGATTACGCCATCACTGCTGGTACAGACAAAAAAATAAATACATACATTTGTATTTATGTATTTATTTTTTTTTTACCAAGTTACAGTTATTAATACAGGCCTGGTTACTTATGACAGTTGTTTAAGTACAGGTTTGGACTCATTTAGGCGACAGTACATTCCTGATGATCATTCTCCTTCCCCCAGGGGTGTCTAACTGGGGGGGCTATGCTGTGGCCTGTGGGCTCTACCTGCTCCACACTTGCCCTTCACACCAGCGCTACCTAAAAAAAGGTCTGGGAGAGGAAACCCCACCCCCCCGAGAGCAGCTGCAGGACTGGATCGCTAACCTGCCCTCTGTGGACAAGGTGACAGAGTCAGACACACAAATACTTATATTAATATTCTCCATTTTCAGGAGATCTGGATTTCTCATATCCTGCTAATTATTATTTAAGATGTAAATCATCTTCAGCTGACACATATGTACCTAGTTGACATGACTTAAAGAAACACTCCAAATTAATACTATTGCTGCTCTGTAATGTTAAATGTGAATTTGTTTTGTATAAAAAATTCTGGTTCCCCCAATAGGCTAAAAACTGCAGCTTTACAGATATTAAAACTTTTTTTCTTAAGATCCATAAGATGAGTCACACTAAAAAAAGCCAACACCTCTCTCTACATCTCTGTTTAAACACACACTCTCTCTGTATGTCCTGCAGGAGGAGTCTGTCCTCTCCACGCTGGTGCGGTTTGGAATACGAAGTGGGAAAACTGGCCACCTGGCCATGGAGGTGGATGGTTTGACCTTTCACCCCACACACTCTGACATAATCACCAGACTACTGGAGGTCACACGAGGCTCCACCTCTCAAAACCCCTGATCTGCTCCTCCTGTGTATTATCAGGAGTATTATCAGAGGCACTGTTCTCAAAAGTGAAGGATTGTCATTGTGTGTCAAAATCACCTTGATATTATAAGAGAAGATAACAGTTTATAATCAAAATACTCTTTCAAAATTTGTCTTCCATCCCAAGAGGTACACTGTACAAACAAATACAAATACATACTTATTGCATTATACATTATGAACATGTGGCGGCATTGCAATCAACTTTACCACTTCCTTTTAACACTTAGTGCTCCACACAGCAACTAATACAATTACTAATCACCCAGATGGTAAAAACATCTTACATGTGAATGCTAACTTGGGTCAGATTTATTTTAGAAGGTTACACCACACACAAACACACATACACTAAACACACACATATACACACACACACACAATAAATATGCTAACGGGTGAAATTCTGTTTCCTTTTTATTCAGAGTGCTGAAAGAAAGTGAGAGAGAATAAAGAGAGCACTGTGCATGTGTGTGTGATTGTCGATGCTGCCTTGGTTACCTTTCAGTCCTCTCCTCTCCCTTTACTACCAGAGGTAAAGCAAAGTGGATTCAAGTACAACAAGGTCTCTTTTCGCTCTCTGTTAGGCTGGATCATTAGAATTAAATATTCAAAATGCCGATTCTATGTTGATGCTTGAAGGAAGAGAAATGAAAGTTTAAAAATTAACTCTTGTTGCTGAAGGATGACTTGATGAACACGTGATGATGGTGGTTGTTGCAATACATATTTTCATTTTAAAATGGGCTGAATGACATTCTTAGACATGTAGGCCTTAGCAGATGCTAGTGTAAGTTGGCTGGGCAGTTCCATATCTCAGTGCTGATTGTGTTTTTGGCCCAAATGATTTAATCTGAAGAAAGATAAGAATGTAAAATGAGACTTATTATTGTGTGTAAAATTACAATTTGCACAATTTAATTAATGATAATTATACACCTATATATACCTATAAGAGGGAAATAAAACTGATAAAATATTGTTTACAGTGTTAAAAAAAATAAAATCATACAATGATTCAATCTACACATTTACTTGATCTCACTGTTCCCTTCTCCACAAGTCATTAATTAATTCTTATCTAATACTTAACCAGCTTATTTACCTGTACTCTATATTGTGTGTTTATATATATTAAGCACTTTAATTAATTATAGTAAAAAGGTTTTGAATGAAGAAATAAACATTCTTGAAGTGAGAAACTGTGTTATTTGCTTCTGCTACTGTGGAACCTTTGTTCAGACGAGAGCTGGTGGCAATTGTTTGCTAACTAAACATAGATGGTGGTTACAGTGGCAACACATCCTCAGTTTGACCTGTAATTCCCTTTTCCCCGCAGCCATAACATCCAAAAATGAATCCAAGAAGTGTTCAACTTTTATTGCAAATAAAGAAAACAATATGCAAAAGCTATAATATTTTTAATTATCAATGAACTAAATCCATTTATCTATTGTTAGATAAGATTGTGATAGATTTTGGCTGAGAAGAATGACCGTATTTGCAGTCACTGGCCCTCCCCATCACGAGCTATGTTGCTGCTGCATCACCACTGAGGTATACATAAATCAACCTAAACCAAGTCTCCTCCACTGACATTACTGTCTGCTGACTTGGCCCTTCTCTACTCGTGCAAAACTACAACTTAACATAAAATGCTACTCATAAGGGGTGCTATACTTTAGCAGGTTTAATTTCAAGAAATTATGTCGCACGAAGAGGCTTAAGCAAGCTTGAATTAAATCTGATTTACCTGCAATGGTTCAACTTCACATCAGGCAAAAAAAAAAAAAAATGCCAGGCTGAGACAGATTTAAGTTCAGCCTGAACTTACTTAACAGGTTTCCAAATGCAGCCACATTTCATCACATAACAACAGGCAAAACAAGACAGACAGCAAGATGTGGCAGAAAGCTTCAAAGGAAATTTAGCAAATACTGTAAATCTTGTGTTATGTTTTTCAGACAATTTTCCCCAATGAATTCATCATTTGAGCTCTACACGTATTTTATTTTGCACAATAATGCTTTGAAATGAATCATCTTTTGATTAATAAAAGCAGATGTTGCATTGGGGTGATTCATCTGGTCATGTGTATCATCAGAAGTTTGATGAAAAGAAACATTGACACTAGTTTCCTCTTCACCACTGGTTTTTTACAAAGGCAACATTGACAAAGGGAGAACTAGTATATGTTCAAGTTTCATCTCTACCAACTGCTGATAACCTGACAGGTATCTTTCAATGTCAAGATTCCTAATTTATTTCAAAATGATCTAAATTTTGCTTTTGTCTAATACTCTCACTATCCATTCTGCTGAGTCACAGTAAAACCACACTGCAAACAAATGTATTACTGCTCTGTTAAATGGATCAGTAGAAAAGAAAACAAAATCTAGTAAATATTTTACGAGGTTGAGCCAAAGAATGAGGGCCAGCTGTAGTAGTCATCTCCTCTTTCCCTCTGCTTTTTTTTCTTGCTGTTCTCGCTTCATCGCCTTTTCAGCAGCGACCTTTGACCTTAATGTGACCCAAGTTTAATGCAACTTCCTGCTGGACGACAGCAGCAGCCAGGAGCAGCTGCTATTGCCAAGATTAATACACACATGCATTTATATCACTCACACACACTCTTAATACTTGGATCAGTACCTCCACAGGAAGGATGCAGTTACAAAAACAAATATAATGACACACAAAGAATAGTTTTGTTTTCCCATACCATCAATTTAACTTTCAGCTCCTGGTGACAACTTTATATATTAATCTCCTAAAACCAACAAACAGTATTAACTCACATCCAGCCAAACATAATATCACTCCAGCAAGTGACTGGAATACAGAGACAGAAATGCTGTTCCCTTAAGAGAAACTGAGAAATGCAACATCTCAGAGGCATTGTGATTCTTTGTGTATGAGTTATTTTGAATAAACATTTTTCACAAGAATATAAGTAGAGTAATGTTGATAAAGTAAACTTTAACAAGCAACCTGTATTGTTGACTATACAAATTAATAAGGGTGGCACTGTGGTTAGCACTGTTGCTCAAAGCAGGAAGGTTCGAATCCAGATGTTGGCTTTCTCCAGGTACTCTCACTTCCTCCCACTGTCCAAAGGCATGCAGATTGGGGTTAAGTTGATTGGGGACTCTGAATTGACTGTAGGTGTGTATGTGAGGGTGAATGTCTGCCCTATGATTTGCTGGCCACCTTTCTCTGAGACCCCCTCTTACCTAATGTCAGCTGGAATTGGCTGCTCCTGCTACCATCAAGTGGATCAGTGGTAAAAATAATGAATAGATATTGTTTATTTTCTGAAATCAAAAATGTTAACAAGTAAATGCAATGTACCTGCAGGAGTTCGTTAATAATCATGAAAGCACAACAGAGTTGACTTCCTTTGTTACACTTTTTATTTTTCCTGCACCTTAAAACGGAATGATAGTTTACAAAAAGAATGTCTATTGCTTCTAGTTGTCTGAAGTACCCACAGCTCAAAAAGAGAAAGCATGGAACATATGACTCGACACTGACAATTGTCATTCAGTTTACTGTGATTATAGAGAACCACTCTGTTATGATCGGTCCCAGGTTTTTAACTACAGTTGCCATATTAATTTGAATGGCTGACATGTGAGTAATAGTTTATTTTCAGCATGTGGAGTGGTGTTTCTTTCCACCATTGAATGTACAATATTCCCTTTCCCCTTAAATATCCAGTAGAGGTGAGAAGTGGCAGCTGGCTAATACAAGTTGTTGGGGCGCCCCCTCTCCAACATCCTGAGACAAAAAAAGTCGATATATATATATATATGTATGGTCTGTATTTATATGGCACTTTTCTAGTCTTGACCACTCAAAGCAGTTTACAGTACAGTTGCCATTCAGGCATTCACACACGCATTCATACATGGGCAGCACTTTTTTCTATGAGGGGCTATTTGGGGTTCAGCATCTTGCCCAAGGACACTTTGCATCTCTGCCCACTTTTATTTACAGCCAATATGTTTTGATTTTATTTTATTTTTTTAATCTAATGTGATTGGTCGACTCTCAACACAGTCTCAGGTACATCCGACGTCACTGAGTAACTTCCACTGCGAGCTGACCAGCTTCTGAGGAACTGCGGCAAAAACACCCCAGCAAGAAAAGAGAGGAGGCGCATGGTCCGCGCCGACCCAGATTCAGCAGGAAGTGATGCGGACGAGCTTGCACCCAGTGCTTCTCCAGCTCTTGTTATGAGAAACAAGGTTGACTAACTGAATGTGGTGTACGTAATGCATTTAATACATTCACATGAAAGTTGCCACAGTCACCTAGACACAGTGAGGCAGAAGAAATCGATGCAGGCTGTGTTGTTTTTGTTAAGACTGGCTTTAGTTTGTATCCCCCCCCACCAAAAAAAAATATAAATAAAAAAACAAACTGAAAAATCACACTCTGCCCCAATCGTAAATTAGAGAAAGACTTCCTGCTGTTCACACCACCAGCGTCAGAGAGCAAATGCTGACGTCACACTAAAACCACACCAGTATGCACAGACACCAAAAAGTCATGTACAGACACACACAAAATGCAGCAGTATGGCTCTACACATTAAACACACACAATTAAAAAAAACAGTTAGTTAGTTAGTTTGCATACTGATATAATATAGTATACATAGTTTCATACTTTTATAAAAATATCATTCATCATACATCTGTGAATATGTTATTTGAACATTTATCATAATAAGACACTACTTTGACCATAATGTTAGAAAGAACCATAGCTTAAACAATATTTAAGAATGTCATAGTATGACCATAACAAGAACTATTCCCATGCACATAGCAACATGTAAACACTGGATATTGTTCTCCTGACATTCATCATTTCAAAGCACAGGAGCAGAACACGTCATATATGTGACACATGTACTTATTGTAAGTCACTTTGGACAAAAGCATCTGCTAAATGCCCTAAATGTAAACGTAAATAAACTGTACACCCATCTGCATTCACTGACACCCTCACAAAACAGCATCACTTTCTTAAAAAGGACAAAAGGGAAGAAAAAAAAGGTACCAAAGAAATGTAAGTTATTACAAACCTTACATTAATAGTTCAGGTTAGCATAGAAGTTAGCAAAGAGGGAAATACAGTCTGGTCAAATCATTAAAATGTGTTAAAAGCAAGACGGCTTGGCTTTTGATGGAAGAAACAATGATCTGACAAAGGAAATGTTACATTTGTAAGCATTGAAACGCACCAGCAGCATATGGTGGCTAATGTTAGCTATGATGACTCTTCCATGCTTGAGCTGCTGTTGATCTCTTCACATTTACCATCATCACTTATCAATTAATGGTGACATTAGCTGCTTAGCAGAAGTTTCATTGTATTGCTTTTCTGAATTAATTCTACCATAAATTCTCAAGTCAAGTGGTATCTTAGTCTTGGTGCTTCTACACTTCTTACTTTTCACAATTATTAAGGCTTCTATATCCTCCTGGAAACACTCACAGCTTAATGGCTTTAATTGTTGCAAGGTCCACAGTCCAGTTTCTTGGACATTATGCTTATGTTTTATCTGAACTGCAGCATCAATGGTGGGACCATATTAACACAGGTGTGTTTGTGTGCATCTCTAAACGGTCTCCAACCAAATCTGTTTTCAAAAACATCAGGATGCAAATAACCACAGTTTGGAGCCATAGCAGACCGGCTGAATACTTCTGTAAGTTGATGCTGGTTGATGGGTTATTGAGTATAGCTTGATGGGCAAAATTGTAACTTTAAAGGAGACATACGAGGCTTGTTCAGTTTTTCTTTCCTCTAGTGTGTTATATATTCTGCAATAAAGGGATCTCCTCTACCCAACAGACAGCACTGAAGCACCTGAAATGCCTCATCAGTAGTCTGGCCCATACTTCCACATCATCATGATGCCAATCAATCAATCAATCAAATCTTATTTGTATAGCCCATATTCACAAATCGCATTTTTTCTCATAGGGCTTTAACCAGGTGTGACATCCTCTGCCCTTAACCCTCAACAAGAGTAAGGAAAAACTACCAAAAACCCTTTTAACAGGGAAAAAATAATGTAGAAACATCAGAGAGAACCACAAGTGAGGGACCCCTCTCCCAGGATGGACCGAAGTGCAATAGATGCCATGTGTAATGAGAACGTCAGAAAAAAAAGAGTTTAAAGCATTGGTCCGAATAAACAGTTTGCAGCATTATGAAAGGTAAATGAATTGAGTAATTATCGTCAGTAATGGTAGAGTATGTCATTATGAGACATCACGCTGCCCCACATTTGCAAAATGTGCAGCTAGTCTGACACGCCTCCTAAGGTCAGGTAAAGTGAAACTGGAGGCCACCTTTTCCTACTCGCAAAGAAAGCAGTTGACCAGTCACAACAGCTCGGACAAGCTGGCCAATCAGAGAAGACTTTATTGGGAGGGGGGCCTTAAAGAGACAGGAGCTGAAACCAAGCGTTTCAGACAGAGGCTTAAAAGAGGGGCTGCAGCAATGGACAGTATGAGGAGAGTGATGTGTTTTCTCAACATAAGAGGAAAAAATATCACAAATTAAAAATATCAACCTGAATTAAAGCATAATATGTCTCCTTTACTGATTTTACTGAAATTGTGTCTCTCAATTACAATGTGCCATGTCCTCCATTGGGTGGTAAGTTTGTTCATGCTGGCAATATGTCTTTATTATACACTGGTAAACTAGTATAGTAAGTAATATGGTAACTGTTCTAAAAACATTGCACTTGAGTGTGGATTAAGTTGGCTCACCTGATTTTGTCCATGCCCAAACACAATATAATTTCAAGCTACACCAGCTGGTTTTTGTGAATGGCTTAAAGCTGATTTATAGAGCATAAGTAAAACTGTATTAACCATTAATAAAGCCATAGCTTACATCTTCACTCATAAAGGGTGCCATGTATAATACTGCAGTTTTAAAGGAATACTGCCACCCAAGGGTTACATTTTCGAGCAGTAATCATTGCAGGTACAACCCCCTGATACATTAAAACACAATGAGAATGACAACATAAAAGTCAGTTTTGTGTGGATCTCTCATAGCAGCAGTTGCTGTATCCATCACTTGAGAGAAACGAGATAATGATTTCACGCCAGTGTCACTGGATGATAATAATGAATGCACAGCTGGATGGGTGTTACAGGCAAGTAAAATGTGATCTCTTATGCATTCTTCACTCACTCTCTACTTCTTTTTTACTTTTACTCCTGCTGCTCTGAGGTCTTTGATAATACGGTTTGTGATTGGTCCCCAGATTATATTAGTTTTTGTCCGTCTCGTCAGTCCTCTCTGATTATTGGCTCAGCTCCTCCATGGCTGTCACACAGCTGGATTTACTTATAAACTTTTTTCATTGTCTGTTACTTTGTACAATTGAGGGTATGATTGTTTTTTCATCCATCTGTGTAATTAAAATTGTGTTTTCGATGGCAGGGTCTGTTTTTACACTGTTGTCTGTGCTGGTGTGAGTGAGAAGCTGCACTGTTGGGTGGCCATTGTTGTCTTCAGTGGCGATCTCATTGGAATCTGTAGCTGGGTTGGTGGGACTCGCTTTGCCACGGCGACAGCAGCAACAGAGTATCCTGGCAAAGGGTCGGATTATGGCTCTGTACAGGCTGTGACGGGCACTTTCGCTGACGAAGCAGTAGAGAGCAGGATCTGCCACGCAGTTCAGGGTGGTCAGCAGCAGGGACAGGTGGTAGTAGTTAAATATTCCTTGGAAATAAGAATACAGGCGATGTGGTTAAGATACGTTTTCACTCTCACTCACCAGAATATATTTCCAGAGATGAAACCGTACTTGCAATAAAGTTGCAGTCCCGCTCCAGCAGGGTGCGTACTAACAAGAAGACGTGGTATGGGGAGAAACAGACAAGGAAGATGAGAATGGTGCTGCTGACTAACTGTCGGATCCTTATCTTCTGAACCGGCTGTGTCCCCGCGCTCCGGCCCACAGCACGGAGGACGCACAGGTAGCTGATCTGGACAGAAACAAATGGATCTTATCAAGTTACATATATGAAAACCCCTGTGTAGGTGAAGCAGTTTTTAAAATATAGACGTATCAATTTAAACTTATTTAAAGTGAAATAATGACACCGAGCAACAATAAATGAGAAAAAATATATATTATCCTACCGATAGAATAGATAACGGGAACACAAAGCCAATTGTGAAGCGGTAGTAGTTGATTGGGTACTCCCACTGCTGCATGGGGTAGTGCTCGAAGCACACAGACAGGTTCTCGCGGTCTTTGCTCAGTTCTTTGTGGCGGAAGAAGACCACGCCTACTGCAATCTCTTTCAGCCAGATGATAGCACTAACAAGCCATGCTGCATTCATAGAGCGGAGAGAGGTGAATCTGGAGGTTTGAAAGAATGGAAAAGAAAAGAGCATTAAATACCAATTCAAGAAATGTGATGACTAATGTGAAGTTTTATATGTAAAGCAACGTTTGGAAGAAATGGTCAATTTCTTGTTTCAGTGAATTCAATTACAATAATGTCAGTATTAATAGCAATCATGAGCTGATTTTCAGCTCAAAATATGTGATTTCTTGACAAGATGAATGTAATCAGCACTGAGTAACAGTGGCGAAAGGTTCGACCAACTGGGGAGAAAGAAGAGAGGAGTTTGACTTCTAACCATCAAGCTTACCTTAAAGGATGAACCACAGCCAGGTAGCGATCCAGACTGATACAGCACAGGAAGCCAATGCTGATGTAGATGTTTTCATAGAGTAGGAAGCCACACAACTGGCACAACCATTCCCTGTGACTCCAATCATCGTCCTGAACCAACACATATACACAGTTTTTTATCAGGAACATCATACTGACACATATTGTACTACCACGCCATCTCTGCTAGTTTCAGTCCGATGATAAAGATGGTGGCCATAAAGAGATGATCATGATCAGCAACAATTCACAGATAGACTGTGATTTTCAAACCAAGATCGATTGATATTAATGGGCCCAAAGTCTTCCGCCCAAGTGGTCCTTACTCAACTTTGAGTCCGAGCCGACCACATCTACTGTTCAAGCTGCTGAAGAAGATTGGTTGCCCCCACATTTGCACAGCATTATCATCTCCTTTCATCAAGATAAGCAGGGTGTAGTCAAATACAATGAGGAAACTCAGAGCACTTCAGAGCGACATCAAACAAGGATGCATTTTTGCACCAACTTTGTTTGGCATTTTCCTCTTGTTGCTGTTATTATTATTATGATTTCATTCAACCACAGATTACAAAATTGAATACAGTCAGACTGACAATGTACAACTGATGCAGCTCATCGTGTATGTATTTGTATATCTGCTATTATAACATAATGAACAGCAGCCCTGACATTTTCAGTTCATATTCTGATGGGGTTTTGTTATATAGATTTTGTCTATAGGTAAAGCAGGTTAGGTGAAGTAAGAATTGAAAAAGTTAATGTCATTATAAAACTTTGCACTATCCAATGCATTCAGGGAGTGGTGATGCATTTAGCAAATTAAAAGTATAACATAACAAATTGGTGCTTTTATTTTACCTGAAAGAAATACTGGAGCCACAGCGGTAACGATGCCAGGTACAACAGATCAGACACAGTGAGGTTCATTAAATAAACTCCCAGTTCATTCTTCTGCTTCAGCTGTACAGCAGCATGGTACAGAGAGTATATGTTGGAGGGAACACCAACCTGGAATCATTAAGATCATTCATTGTAATTATTGTCATTCTATGTGACAGACAGTTTTCTGTCACACTGCCCTCCTCTCCAGCCAATCCCAGCTGAGAGGTGGGATAAATCCTGGGACACCAGCATATTGCAGTACAGAGACATAAAGAGATTCGAGACCCCCCATATTAGGAAATTCCAAATGCAAAAAACTCCACATAACATTTAGTCAAACATTGTTATTTCCATTTTAAACATTTAAAAGTTACACTTTAAAAGTTACTTTCTGAGTTGTTGAGACCCTTTACTGGAAACAAACTTTTATAAGGAATTCAGATACCTTAAAACAATGTTTCAGGTATACAACATATTCACACACTTACCAATAGTACAAGGATATACACTGAAGGGAAGAGGTACTGGTGGATTTCATGGCTGATGGTGCAGTTCATCATGTCCTCCTCAGACATGGTCACCGCCTTCACACCTTCACATCACACAAACTAATTCACCTTTCACATGCACACACTCACATGAATGTTCGTACACATGTTCTTACGTTCTCATTACAAAAGATGTATCAACACACACACAAATCTTCATTCTGATTGGAGCCCCCAGCGATGGCTTAAACTGGTGTCCTCTGGTTGAGTATTAGTCTGGTCTGATTAGGTAGTCCGGTTTTATGTGACCTTTGTGAAACACAAAATAATTTAGCTTAGTATGAATTAAAAAAAAAAAGCTCACAATGACTAATATGCTGATGTTAAGCAGCTATGATATCTACTATGTTTAGCATCTTAGCTCTGCATCTTCATATCCTGGCAACATTTTCAATCCAGCCCTAAACAAAGCACTACAGAAGCTAACACAAATATCATGATTCATTAGGACGAATACAAACGTAGGCTAGACAAATAAAATGTCATTAAAATTTTGCACAACAGTAAAAGTTAAAGAATCACCTTACTTCAATTCAGTGTATCCTAAGGGGACCTTGCATGTCTATACTCCATATATCTGTAAAGTTGTTGAGAATCAATTTTCGAAAAACAATTCAGATCAAACTGATTGTGGGGCCACAAAATATTCACCATAATTAATAGAGTTTATCATTGAACATGAATGGCTGTGCAAAGTTGGTAATGGTAATGACTAGAATAGCTGAAAAACAAAAAAATGTCAGAATAAAGTCAAAAACAATTATGTTGACAAATGTACTCACATTCATCTAAACTAATGTCTGTGAGGTGGTTGAGACAAAGGAAATCTGAAGTGAAGAAATACACTGACTTCCTGTTGAAACTGTGACCATATTCTGTGACCACATCCTCTTCTTCCTTTAAGTGATTACCATTTTGTCTTTATATGACTAATGTCATTCAACTGGTGAAGGTACGGAAGCATGCATCTTGCATTGTTTTTCCTGACAGAGTCAGTTGAGGCCATTTGCATGTACTGTATATTCTAATATTAGAATAATCAAATACAGATTTTTCAGAACATTGTGTCACTGTGTTGAAGTGTAAACAATATTAACATTTACCAACAGTCATTATCAATGATTCAGTGTTTTGCTTTTGACGTTCATGTTATCAGCCAATACATAATAAGGATGATGAAAACATTGAAACATTTTTTTTTTTTGTTGAAAAAATGTAACCTTGGACCCTGCTTGTGTTGACTTGACAACAGTGTTATTCACAGCAATGTCAGATTTACTCTTACAGGCTGCAAGACCACATTACAATGAGTGACACTCAAGCACTTCTTGACTTACAAAGTGATAATGGCTGAGTGAGGAAGAATTAATGATGAGGAGATGTGCAGCATTTCCCTTATAAAGCAGCCTTCTCAGTTCAGCTTTGGGCAGATATGATGTGACATTTACAGTTACACTAAACCAGTTATTGGTAACTGGCTAAAGCCTGCACCAGTGTTACAGAGAGCCTGTTTGACCAGTTGGCTTTATTATAATAGAGACAGCTCCTCATCATGCAGCTATCTTGCCATCTTTAAATCAGTGGTGGCCAACCGTCCTCCACTTTCCAACTACACTGCATCACTGTGGCAGATGCTGCTGTAAAACAGCTACCACTGCAGCATTTTTCAGGAGATTTTGAATCATCACATAACGAGAAACATTTCACATGCCAATTAATTTGTTTTCTGCAGTTTTCACAGCCCTTAATAGGCCTTTTAATGTACTAAACAAGGCCGATTACATTTGTCTATTTGCATTACTGCCCTGTTTGTAATGAGCTGTGGGCCCCTAGCTCCTTGAATTAACTCAAGTTCCCTGTTCACTCTTAAATATGAATAATTTGATTAGTGAAATGCAGCATGTATGGATACAATATACTGGAGAAATAAAAGCCTAAACTAGACTTCAACTCTGGGATTGTAGCACCACTAATCTACATAACATGCATATATGTTTTATGGAACAGTTAAACTTAAATGAGAAAGAGCTGAAAGAGCAGGTCAAGTAATTGAGTGACAGAAACAGTTATAATACAAATATTAATGCACCAGAGGTGTGCATGAATCAGCGAACGGGAAAGCAAAGAGCTCAGTCCAGGTGGCTGCCGTGAATGGAGTTGAGAAGACCAATGGTGTGGGAGAACATTCACATGGGTCTCCTGGAAATTCAACATATCAGTTATCACTATTGACTGTATGTATGGATGGACGTCATGACAGCTCCCCAAAAACATCTTGATCATTCCCTGGTGGCTGGCTGCTGTTTAAGTCATGAAACCTGCCTCCTCCCCGCCTAGTGGATGGGACATTTAGCAAAAGTACACAACCAAAAAATGTTCTCACAGATGGTTTCTGTCACTGTACGTAGTTCTTATTACACCGATGTAAGTTCCAGTGTTAAAGTGTGTGATAAGTTTGGTTTGATGGGATGCAAACTGGGTGAGACATACCACTACTCTGATTTTAAACCTTCTTATTGGTGGATGACCGCTCTACCCCTCTGCCAGAGCCGCCCTGTAAGAAGCATATCAGCAGAACTGCATCAATCAGACCTTTATGGTAGAGAGGTTACACAGCTGAGTAAAGGCATGAGACAGGCTGTGTGGGCTCTGCCAAAAAGGATTTAAAGGTCAAGTGAGTATTTCAAGAGAATGAGGAATACAGCCAAGACAATGCTGGAGTGGCTTCAGGACAAGTCTCTAACCGTCAATGAGTGGCTCAGCCAAAGTCCAGAATAAAACTCCACAGAACAACTGAAGTTGGCAGTTAACAAAGCACTCCCCATCCCATCCCAGTCAGACCAAATCCTAGAATCCAGGTGTGCCAAGCTTACAGAGACGTACATGTGCCAAAGCTGTATCCGCTGCCAAAGAGGCTTCAGCAAAGTACTGAATGAAGGGTCTGGATACTTTTTGTAAATGAGAGATTTCAGTTTTAATTTTACACAAATGTGCATTTTTTTATAGAACCATATTTTCACTTTGCTACTATTTCTTAGTGAGTTGGAATCTTTTCTGAAGCCCCAGTAAATGTTCCTTTTCTTTGAACACCAACTCCAGTGTAAGACTAGTCAATGGACAATGATGCTTCTGAATATAAACTATATTTCTTTGCTTTGGCATCCTAGCATTTTTAGAATGGCTCCATAATTACATACCATAAAACCATTTAGAGCCACTTTGACACAACACTCTTAAACCACACGCAGCATCTCAGTCTGACATTCTGTGTGACTCGTCTTCCTAAACAAACCACTTCCAGATTAAGGCACAGCTGGATATATAGTGTGCATTCTTTTAGAGTCAAGCTAAACCAATCTCTTAACCCTCATTCAACCAGATGACTAGACTATATTAGACTATAGCAATACTGAATGTTTGGATGGGGACATTCCATCTTTTTAGAAAATGTATTTGCTCTGCACACTCTCACCCACTGATCCTGCCAGAGAGGATCTGATCTGACCAGGATACAATGACAGACTCACACTGTGCCCTTTATTGTTCACAAACACAGTGTGTGTCACAGGAATTTATCAAGATGCTAGAAGTGCAAAAACAGTCAATACACATTTCAAGCTTATGACTCTCAGTCTGATCAGAGTAAAACCTTATTATGAAAAGGGTAATCACCTGTTTAAGAAGGTTAGAAGAAGGTTTATCCACAGCAATTATGTTGTTAAAGTTGTATTATAAACAGACAGAAATACTGCATACAATATATATCAAATTACTGCATGTTTTCTCTCAAAACCAATTCTGACACCTCAGAATTTGGGCATTGGGGTGAGGGTATCTGATATTGAATAACAATCAAATTCAATTATCTAAAGGTTCAGTGTGAAAATATAGGTGAACGGGATCTATTGGCAGACATTGAATATAAAATAATCCTAGTGATGTTTTCAAAAGTGTGTTTCATATAAATTGTATGAATTGTGTTTTTTTACCCTTTACCCTAGAATGGGCACTTCATATTAAAATACTTTATATTTACATTAGAGGGAGTCCTCTAACCTTCTACATTGTTTTTTAATGTAGCCCAAAGTGGACAAACTAAACATCCTCAGAGTTTTTATGACAACGGAAGGCTACCACTGGTTCAATTTTGGAAGGAGAGGGTGAGGTGGGGGGTGTTTAGCTGCAACATTCAATCTCACCAATAAATATTACTAAATTCTACACACTGAACCTTTAAGGGGACATCTGAGATTATAGGAAAATCTCACCTTCAAATGATGTTAGGAAACATTACATTTGTTCCACAAAGGTTTGCATGTTAGGGTGCATGTTGCCTGTTAGGAGAGAGTAATGCACAGCACTGAGGTCGCAGATGGGGCAAAGTGTTCCATCTTTATTCTAAGCTTTATTCTTATTCAACATGAGGATTTTTTTTTCATCTAACTTAATTCGAAAAAATCTAATAAAATAAGCAAAATGTCCAAATTTCTGATTGGAAGACTAATGACAGCCAATAAAACTGTTACTGTAAATCATTCCAATGAATTATTCTTGTTCAATAAAACTACAACCAAAGCTCCAGCATGTGAAGTGCGTCGACAAAGGGAAAGTGGCAAATATTGATCAGCACCAACTTGCAATGTTTCAAGACAGCAACGCAGGCAGAGAACATAAACAAAATGTCATCAGTTGTCCCACGAATATACAATAATACATAATTACATGTCTGACCTTAACCATGGCCCTCTTCCTCTTCCCAAATCAATGGAGGTGACTGGACTTTTACTTAATATAAATTGAAAACAGTAAGTTTTCTTTATGGAATGAGTCTCTCTGTGATACTTTATTCACATAATATGGGATGACTGGTGAGACACACTGCCATAGTTATGAAACAATAAGTGATTGTTCACATCACTGGACAACTCATGACAGTTGTATGATTCCATGGGTCAAAATACTGTGAACTTAAATCTACTTTGGCTGACATGAGGCGTCAATGTCAGGAAAGTGTATTATTTAGAAACACGTTTGATACATTTGAGAAAGATTCTACTACTTGGAAGTTGATGAAGAAACTATTTATACAAATACTCTGACCTGAACTGTCCAGGCATTTTTCATTGGGATTATTTCTTTAGTAGGAAGTGGCTCTAAATGAAGTCAGTGGATTTTGTTTCAACCGTAATCTTTTATGTCAGAATGTGACATTGGCAGTGCTGAAAGCATATGCCTGAAGGCATCTGCAT